CAACACCATGTCAGTGTATAAGTTACCTTTCAGCTAGAGTATAAACAAAATTACATGCAGAAGAAAATATTACTTGTAGAAAAATCTGTTAGGGAGAATCCAGTGAGATAGCAGATTAAAACACAAAACACACAGATCAAGCCAGATTCATGACTGTAATCATAAATCACTCAAGAGGCTGAGAATTGGGGTTTGAAGCCAGCCTTCAAAGACAAGCCTTATCATCACTTGATCTGTGAAAAGCTAGTGTGGCTCAAGTGGTAGAGCACTAGCTGTGAGCAGAAAATAGAGTGAGGTCCTGAGTTCAAGCTTCTTATTACCTCCCCCACCTCCCAAATCACATATCAATCAATAGCAAAGTAAAAGAGGGCCGGGAGAGGAGGGCTATATAAGAGGGTGAATAAGGAGTAAACTTGTTTTGATATAGTTTATTTGCATGTATGAAATAGAATGAAATCTGTTTAAATTGTTTTAAGAAAGGGGAGTGGGCTAGAGGAGAATAACAGAGAGGTTGATTGGGATACACTGTTTACAAGAGCACTAATATCACACAAAACTCTTCTGCAGAACTACAGCTTTTTAAAAAGAGGTTGTAGAAGCCTTTGTAGGATGTTAAATTAAGGCTCTCAGAGGAACTGAGGGTGCTCACTGGCTCTGTGATGTGCCCAGGTATCTGAACACAAAATCAAAGATCCAGAGAACCTTATATCCACAATTCAGAGTCCACAAACATAAATTAGTAATTCTCAAAAACAATGACAAAAATCACCTATCAACTAACAAGTCTACCAGACTCTCTGAGCTTATTCCATGGCTTTATTCTATGCTTTAACTCAATTTTTCTACCTCTACTCCTTTGCTTTTTACATATTTCTCTGTAAATGGCAATGTATATGGATTAAAAAATATTACTAAGTTCAAAATAAAAGTCATCTCCTGGGGCTGGGAAGGTGGCTCAGTGGTAGAGCACTTGCCTTGCATGCCTGAGGCCCTGGGTTTGATTCCTCAGCACCACATAAGCAAAAAGAAAAAAGCCGGAAGTGGCGCTGTGGCTCAAGTGGTAGAGCGCTAGCCTTGAGCTGAAGAGCTGAGGGACAGCGCCCAGGCCCAGAGTTCAGGCCCCATGACTGGACCCCCCCCCCCCAAAAAAAGTCATCTCCTTTTATGTCACATAGAAAATTGAGAGCTAATACCTAAGAAAAACTCAGTAAGATGCTAATTTAAAACATATATGGATGTAATTATCTCTATAATGTACAGTCAAATAGAAATGCTATCAAGTTTTTCAAGTGAATTTCAAGCACAGATGTCTATCCGTTTTCAAACTTTTTTGTTTGTAGGAAGACCTGTCTTTGAAGCAGGGTGAAAAAATAGGATGAAAATAATAAGGTGAAACTCTTATTGCTTTATTATTATTTAGTTAGGACAGCAAACACTCATTAGTCCAGCTTAATCCTATACTATTAGATACCTCCTAACTTTCTTATTTCTCACTATTAGCAAATCAGAGCTAGTGGCCTCTAGTATTTCACTTTTTCTCATAAACTAAATTACTGTAAAATGAGTTTTGAAATTATTTTACATACTATTCTCACATCAACTTTATTAATAACAAGGCTTAAAAGGTGATTCCTGAGCTAGATGTCTGTGGCCCATGCCTACTGACTCAGGAGGCTGAGATCCAGGGAAAGAGAGCTTTGGCTCAAGTGGTAGAGTGCCAGCCAAGCAAGCAAGCTGAGCAGACTTGAAGTCCTGAGTTCAAGCTGGGTATTGCCTAAGCGCCCAAAATCCAAATCAAACCAAAATAAATGAAAAGTGATTTACCCAAGGTAGCAAATCTTGAAGCAGGAGACCAAACTGAGAGTTAGATATTATTTCTACAAGTCCACTGGTCTTCAAATTGTAGGCCAAGTGGAGAATTGCGTTGATGGCACAGACCTGAGGTTGCTTTATCTTGCCACAGCAACTCAATTACACCCTTATTTCTCTATTTTGTTCAGGACAACATATGTCATGAATCTTACTGTAATTCACACATCCCAGCTCTAAAACATTCTCCTTCATTCTATTATGGCTTAGTATTCACTTGTGCTGATTCCTGGGAAGCATCATTGCTACATTCAATTGTACAGTAGATTAATTTCTAAGAACTCTGTGACGAGTTTCTCAAAGAAAATAGCCAACCAACCCAAAGTACACTCAACTTGTTCACATTGTCCTTAGCTTAGAAAGTATTTATGTGGAATTGGAGAGTAGTACTGTCTCCTGTGTCAGTAAAATGGGGCCAGCTAATTGCAGCTGGGAATGGTGTCTCACCCCCTACCATTCCTGCTATTATAAAGGCAGAGATGCAGAAGGGCATTGTTTGAAGACAAGTCAGTGAGACTGTCTCAATCAGTGGTGAGGGCTTGTATTCTTAGCTACCAGGGGAGGTTCATGGTTTTAGTGTAAATAATTTAAAAGTCACATGTAATTATCAAAGCTCACTGTACTTATTAGCAACTCAGTAAAAAAAAAAAAAACTTGTGAAAAAAGCTGTTCGTATTTAAGACCTTTCTCTATTTTTCATTTAACAAAAGTTCTCCAAATTAACTTTTAGCCTAAAAACAGAGAGCACAATGTTAATCTTTGACATTAAAAAGGTCTATCTTCCCAGGCTAATACATCCTGCTTCCCTATATATTGCCACAGAGTTTAAAAATGTCATACTGGATTTTTTTCAACTATCTAAATTGAATCATTTTATTATGTGGTGAGCCAGATAACAGTAAGCAAGGTAGCTTGATGTTCCCAGATAATGCATTATGCAAGGAGAAACAAAAATAATTTTTATCTTTCTTTCCTTCTCTCATTCAGGATAATAACGTTACTAATTATTCAAAACCACTACTTATCTTTGAGAGTCAAACTTCTCCACAAGGGCTATTTCATTTCCGTAACTGACAAGCATTTTCGAATACATACCATTATGTATCTTTTACCACAGAAAGATATTCTCTAACTCTCATTTGGAGTTATTAGAGTTTGAACTCAGGGCTCTACCACTTGAGCCATGCACCCACAGTCTTCAACCCTCCCTCCCTATCAAGAAGGTAAGCTCCATTATACTTTTGTTTCCATGTAACCCTAAGGCTCAAAGTTTCAAATGTACAATGTAAAACTACTAAGTATCAAATATATTTAATATAAGCTGCAAGGAAAATAGGCTACATTTTTACAAGAATTATTATTAATCTTGAAACAACTGGAAAGCCATGGGAAGAAAAATGAGTTAGGCAATAGATATATTGAAATGTTAGTGGTCCAGACAACAGACAACCCCATTTATCTAAGAACAGCAAACTTAATACATTTTACAAATATTCTGTCGATATTTTCTCTCTCAAAAAGCAAAAGCATCAGACCCTCTCTCAACTTAAGACAGGAAAGGAACCCTTGTGTAAAGCAGGAGGGATGAGAACTGGGAAGAAAGCAACATGAAAGGGCAGCAATGGTGACACTTAGGAAGGACTATGGGACACAGGGAGGTAAAAGTACCTTCCATAGGTGCTGGGAAAAACAGCATGGTCAATGGAGAGAGGAAACAGAGGAAGGTGAATAATTCAAGAAACTGTCAAGCTCATGGTGAAATGACTGCAATCAAATAAAATCCAAAAGAGCTAAAGGCTCTATGATGGATGGAGGTTTGAAAGTGGCACAGTAGAATAACCAAGCAATCAAATTAACTAAGCCAGGGAGTGTGTGAAACATTTACAAAGGTGACATTGGAGCTAGGCCTTGAGGAGAGAGGAAGCCTTTGCCAGGGAGAATCATGAAAGAATTCAGAAAATTGCTCTTTGTCATATTTTATGTTTAAAGGTGAGCAATAAGAAAATCTCTTCCTGGAAAAGAAGACTGTCCTACAAACTATGGAAGTTATATCTACTGAGAAAATTCCTTATCCAAAAAAGAAATGTGGTTCTTTTGGGAGTACCACTGTTTTTTAACTCTGGGACTTGAGCTTGCTAAGCAGGTGCTCTACCACTTAAGCTCAGTCTGGAATTTTTGTGTGGGGCTAGTCTGGACATTGATTTCCAAGGTATACCTTCGAAGTAGCTAGATCACAGATGTGAAACACTAGGCTTGGCTTATTAGTTGAGATAGCGTCTTGCTGCCCAACCTGTCCTTCCTCCCAACTGGCCTCCAACAAGATCCTCCAGGGCCCTGCCTCCAGGACACGTGGGATTACAGGTATAAGCCACCTTGGTTAGCCAGGATGTATCTTGATAAGAAAATGCACTCTTGGCAGTTCCACTACCTCTGCGTTTAACAATTCGAATTTCTGGTGCCATTAAAGTGTAAAGACTTTTTAAACAAACTTTAAGCAGCAAAAAAATCCAGTCCCTTCTTTTTTCATTACTATATATTAATTGTACAAAAGAACGTAAACCCCATTTCCTGAATGAACGACAAAAAAAAAAAAAGTCCCAAAGACAACAGGTTCTTCTTAGGTGCATCTGGCTTTAGGAGACAGAAGCAACATTTATTTCCTATACCTTTTCTCTTGATTGTGAACCAAAGAATGACTGAGGGCAGTTAGAAGAACACTGTTTCCTGGATTCAGGAGACCGGGGAGTGGGTGGGTGGGGGGAGCGCAAAAACGTTTAAAGCAAACGTTTAGGTCGCGTTCTCAAGTCCCGCAAGAACCTGTAAACTGCAAACTTGATCATTTATAGGAACCGACTCCTATGGGGGTGGGGGTTGGGGGTGGGGATCCCAGGAGCAAGTGCAACACCCAACTGGAGGCCCGCAGGAACAACAGATACTGTTGGATTCCTTGGCGTCTGGCAAAATACACTATCTCCCAACCCAACATTCACTGGCCCCCAATGACATCCCCGCATATATAGAAAAAAAAAACCCTTCCTCAGAAGTCCCCCCCTCACCAACCCCGCCACCCCCACAGTAACTCCCCACCATCCCAAACAACCCTGCGGGCGTGACAGGCAGCACCGACTTACTGAGCTGTCCCCCGCCCGACGCCGTGCTCGGCTCCCGACCTGCAGCGCCTCCGATGCCCGCCGCTCCGGGGATCCCGGGAGCCCCGATCCCCGGCGGGGTACCGCTCTGCCTCTCGAAGTTGCCTGGATTGGAGAAGTAGTCGCGCAGCCGAGGCAGCTCGCGGCCGCTCTCCAACAGTTCCGTGTGCAGCTCCAGGGCAGTCAGCAGGTACTGATCGCGCAACAGCTGGGCGGCGATGGCATCGATCGACAAGCGAGCCGGGGTCTCCCCGGCGCCCCCCAGGGCCATCGCCGCCGCCGCCGCCTCCGCCGGGACCCCCGGCCGCGCGCCGCTCCCCAAGGCCAGGGGATCCTGTGGCGACAGCGAGCCCGCAGAGCCGGGGTCCAGGCCCACGCCGGTACCCAGCCGAAGTCCTGCCCGCCGCTCCTCGGTGGCCGCTACCTCGTCGTCGTCCTCATCCGAATCGCTGAGGAACGGATTCACGCCGCCGCCGCCGCCGCCGCCGCCACCTCCGGGCGCCATCGCCGCCATCTTATCCTGACCGGAGAGTGGGCGCCTCCCTGGCAGGCGCCAACAGGCCGCAGCCTGAGTCTGAGCGTCGGTGGCCTCGCAGCACCTACACCGCCACGGCCCAACCACGTCCCGCCTCCCCACCTGGAGGCTAGGCCCTGGCTCGGAAGTAGGAGGTCCGGGTGCGGCAACACCCACCGCTTCAGCAGCCGCTGCACCAGCAGCCGGCTCTGCAGGCGTCTTCCTGGTCCCCAGTCTCGCGAGAACTGCAGTGTGTCCCGCCCTCTCCCCGCCTTAACCCCGCCCCAGCACGCCTCAGCCCCGCCTTATCTCAGCCCCAAAGCTCCAAGATTGAAGGACCCGCTCCCGGCTCAAAAGCAAAACCCCGCCCATCACTCCTCCTGATTGGCTGGGATGCCAGGGGATTGGCCCGGGAATTATCGTGAGAGTTGCCGCGGCTCGGGAAGTGTCGGGGGCGTCTGGTGGTTGAGGGTCGGATGTGGAGGTGGTTTTAGGGACACCCTGGTGGTTGTCCGTTGCGTGGGCTGTGGGGAACCCTTCCGATAGCTCCATGGCCTTTGGTCCTGCCTTCACGCTGAGGAGGCCTCGTTTCCGAGATCAGGTCTGACCCAGGTAACGTCCCGGGACCATCGCGCTGAAGCGCGGCGGCCCCGGAGCCGCGGCCTCGCGGGAACCGTGGTCCCGCGGATCCGCTCCACTGTTTGCTCTCGGTGACGTCTCCTCAGCGCGGAGGCCGAGTGCCCCGCACACGCTGGCCAGAGCCGGGCTTCCTGCCCTTCCCGCCCTTCCCGCCCCTGTGTTTTGTCCCCGTGGAGGCCTGGCGACAGCCCCGAGTGGCTTGGGTGTGGACGAGGGCTCCCTCCGCCCGTGGGACGCGCGGTGCGCCGTGGAGTTTGAACGGAAGATGCAATGCCCAGCGTCGGTCGTGGCAAGAGTGTTAAGTACTCGCTCACGGAACACCTGGGACTCACCACACAATTCTCACAGCAGGGACTTTTCTCTGGAGAGTAAGCTGAAGCCCAGAGATTTTCTAGGACCCGTCCCCAGGAGCTCCACCAATAAGTCTTCAAAGGAAGTCCCGTCATTTGTGACCCATCCCAAGCCATCCTTTTCCCACAATGCCCTGCACGCTCTCTGCCTGGTTGGTTGAAGCTAGGATGGAGGTTTTGCTTGTGGAACTTGATTTTAAAGGTGGAGCGCTGTAGGCGTATTGATTTCCTTTGTGGTGCCTTGACACTGTAGTCTTTAATTGGGAAGACTGGCGCTTATCTTTTCCATTACCTTTTGGCTACAAGCTGAAAAAAGCAATGTTTTCCAATGGACAGAACTAGACAGCTATTGCTGATGGCTTATTTTCTCACACAACTTGCTACTTATGCAGGTTTTCAACTTCCTACTGTCCAGCCCTCAGTAGGCACCAAAAACACATAGGCAGCTGTAATTATGACTATCAGGCAAGTTACATATTACACTGAAGCAGTAAAGTATCCTTTGTGGAAAAATAAAAGTAGAGCATTCTTATATAACCTTAGGTCAGGTTATTGGTTTACAGGTAACATATGCCAACAGTTGTAGGCTTCAGTTTCAATTGAACCAGGTTCAGCAAACTGAAATGTCCATTTGAATGGAACTCTGAGCTATTTTTATTTTGGCTGGTACTGGGCTTGATTGCTTGCTCGCTTAGCTGGCATGCCACCACTTGAGTTATTCTTCCAGCCTAACTTTTTGCTGGTTCTTTTGGAGATAGCGCATCACAAATGTTTCTGTCCAACATGGCAGTGTCTTGCCATCCTCCAGATCTTAGCCTGCCCTTGCTTACTTTAGACTATAAATTTTTTATAGGACTACCTCATGATATTCTATGTTAAATATTTTTCAGTGCCACTTGTTGAAGAAAATACGAGAAATTCCAATGTTAGGGAATAATACCAATTATATCAATGATATTAAAATGACCGATACTCTATCCTTTTACATATTTTTTTAAATCAAAAGGGATTGCCGATCCTTATTTCAGTTTGCCAAAGTGATTAAAAGTTAAACACTGGAATGGAGGATTAGGGAATGACACAGGAAAAGAATGGTTAGTTTGTACAATAGAATGGATTGTACAAAAGAATGGATTGTTTGTACAATATATCCATCTCTGTAATGCAAAATATTAGAAATCTAAGCCTAAGTTAAAGTCCCAACTATACATATAAATTATGAGACCTTGAAATAATTCAAGCCTAAATTCTGTCAAACTCTCTGGCATTCATCTGCTAAAGGGGACAATGAAAGGCATAAAATTGAGAATATTCTTGTCACAGTGGTAAGCCTAAATGTTAGTATGGCCAGTTATTAATTAATGAAATAGTAGTTACTGAAACATTTTTAGAAACCAAATAGCTACTGTTTTAGCAGATAAAGCCTGAAAAAGTAATTAGGACAGCAGAGCTAAAAGGAAATACCCTTAATTTAGGATCTGAGTTCTAACAGTCAGGTTGAAAATAGATTAAAAATGTTTCCTTGGAGAACTGTAAGAAGTTGGATGTAGAAGTTCTTTCTTGATGAACATAGAGAAATGCGTTGTTTTTACTACATCTAATGCCTATCCTGTAAGCGTGGGCTTGTTTATGTGACCTTGCAAGCCCATAACAAATGAACTGGCCAGTCTTCCCAGTAGGTCCTGGGAAGTGCCTAGAGGGATACCTCTATATACCCCCATCAGAACACGTTGTTTTGTTTTGTTGTACCTGTACTAAGACTTGAACTCTGGGTCAGGATCTGACCTTTAGTTCTTTTGCTAAAGGTTGGTGCTCTACTACTTGAAGCACAGTTCCACTTCTAGATTTGTGAAGGTTAATTGGAGATAAAAGTCTCACAGACTTTCCTGCCTGTGCTGGCTTTGAACCTTGATGCTTCAATCCCAACTTCCCGAGCAGCTAGGATTGTAAGCCTAAGCTGCTACCACCTGACTAGAGTAGATTTTTATTTATCAATAAAAATATGCAAGTGACACAATCTATAATAATTTCTGATCTCTGCCTATCAAAATTTATTACTAATATTATTGGGAAATTTCCTTTTTACTGAAGATTTAGCCTTTATAGCTAATGTTTTATCTGCATAATAATAGCTACTGAAATTTGTATTTTAGAAATAAAAATATAAAATTTGTTTTCCAAGCACTTTAATAATTTAAGTGTTAAAGAATATTTTTGGAGTTGGGTACTGGTAGCTCAGGCCTGTAACCCTAGCTACTCAGGAGGCTGAGATCTGAGGATTGTGGTTCAAAGGCAGCCCAGGCAGGAAAGTCCATGAAACTCTTATCTCCAATAAACTACCAGAAAAATGGAAGTGGAGCTGTGGCTCAAGAGGTAGAGTACTCATCTTGAGCTGAAGAGTTAAGGGACAGCACTTAGGCCCAGAGTTCAAGCTCAGGACCAGCAAGAAAATTAAAAAAAAAAATTAACTACCAAAAAGCCAGAAATTGAGCTGTGGCTCAAAGTATTAGAGTATTAGCCTTGAGAGACAGCACCCAGGCCCAGAGTTCAAGCCCCACCACCACCACCAAAAAAAGAGGAATATTTTTGGGAGGCTAATGTCCTAAAGTTTTAGTAATAGCTAATAATTTTTTACTTTTCAGTGTGTGTTAAACATCCAACAGATGTAAACCAGATAGATTTTATTGATGCATGAAGATAGGAAAGTTTCCAAACAATTGAACCATGGCAGGAGTTTCATTCTCAATAAATGGGAACAAGAAGTGCTTGTCTTTAAAGAGAAATATCACATGATAGTATTGCTTAATATTCATGTGTTTGGCTATAATAAGTAATGTGTAAATACCAATACTTTAAATTTACTGAGTTTTTTATGTATCAGAGATTACTAAAACATAAAATGTGGGTCTTTTTTTTTTTTTTTTTTACAGGCAGTCTTTACAGATCTGGTCTAGAATTAAAAAGAGAATCACAGCGACCTCTAGTGTCCATAGCGCATATTGTTTTTGATATGGTAAACAAACAATTCAGAAAAACCTCAGTCCTTATCAAGTGCATATAGGACTGTGATGGACATTAGTGATGTCCTGTCCTCCTTCCCTAGAATTACAGTGACGTGGTGGAGAGAGACGTTAGTCCAAACATTCAAAGACATTGTTAAGTACTCAATCCAAAGGTTTTGGTTTCTGATTTAGCCTGCACAGTCCCTAAGGAAGTGAGGTTGAAAGGAGACAGCGTGACAAGTGAGAGTGGAGGCTAGGCTGGAAGTACATTCTGTGGAGAGGACATTGTATAGCAGTGGGGCACATGGGATACTCGGAGAAATAAAGGAGAATGGTGAAATGAGCTAAACTGCAATAAAGGTTAGTATTATGGGATGAGGTTAGAAAAGGAAGCAGCGACCAGTCTTGAGTAGGATGGAGAGCAGTACAGCAGGGTCTTATACAGCATCTAAGATGTACATAACTGTCTTTTGTTTTTTTAAAAAAGCATGAAAATAATACTATGACTGTGTGCCAAGACAATATTAGGAGTCAGCCTGCCTGGGTGCAGTAGTTCAGGCAAGGGATGGCATACCTGGAGGACTACAGGAATGGGAGTAGAGTAAGACAAATGAAAAGAGCCAAGAAAATAAAGTAGACTCAATTCTTGTATGAAATATAGGGGAGAGTATGGTAAAATGAATGATGGATAATTCTGTGACTTGCATACTTCAGGATAATATGGTATCATTTCCTCAGGTATGCAAATAAGGATATGATTAAATAAAGGCAGGATAGAACAGGGTGATAAGGTAGCCTAAGACCAAATTTTGAGTAATTTCAAAATTCAGTAACCAAAGTGAGACAAGAATGTAAATAGAAAATGAAAGGAGTAATATTTGCAGAAAGGATGACATCCTGTTAAAATAACAACAAAACCCAATACAAAATAGAGCTGAGCACCAATGGCTTGCTGTAATCCTGCCTACTCAGGAGGCTGAGATCTGTGCATTTAGGTTCAAAGCCAGCCTGGGCACGAAAGTCCATGAGATAATTACCTCCAATTAACCAGCAAAAAGCTGGCTTAAATGGTAGAATGCCAGCCTGGAAAGAAAAAACTGGGTGACGGTGCTCTTAGAAAGTACCTAATGAAATACAATATGTAGTTCATTGTTATTAATTGAAAGAAGGCATATATAGTGATATACAAGGGAAAATATTTTCCTAAAAATCTCCTATAAAGAGCAGT